TCTTGGATTTCAAAATGGCATGAATGATCGATTTCCGGCCTCTGCATGTCGTCTCGGTTCCGAAAATATCCATATCGTTGGCTATTTGACAGATTTTCACAAAACCGGAAGCCGCCATCTTGGATTTCAAAATGGCATGAATGATCGATTTCCGGCCTCTGCATGTCGTCTCGGTTCCGAAAATATCCATATCGTTGGCTATTTGACAGTTTTTCACAAAACCGGAAGCCGCCATCTTGGATTCCAAAATGGCATGAATGATCGATTTCCGGCCTCTGCATGTCGTCTCGGTTCCGAAAATATCCATATCGTTGGCTATTTGACAGTTTTTCACAAAACCGGAAGCCGCCATCTTGGATTTCAAAATGGCATGAATCATCGATTTCCGGCCTCTACACGTCTAGATTATACCATGCAAGAGTGGAAATGGCTGAATTCCAACACAAACCTGGTTCATTGTCTGGCTTTGTGGAAGCCAGCTGCTTTCAAGATGGTTAGGATTTACAAATGAGAGAAAATTCCGTAATGGTGTGATCAAAGCATTCGGAAGGTCTTTACCTCCAGAAGAACTTTATCATGAACGAATATGTTCTAGGTGATCATGACTTACAAGTACCGAATAAAATTCCATGTACACTGCTCAGTTTTTTTGTTATGATGAATTTTGAAATAACACGGGTTTATCACACGGTTTTGTGAAACACATGGTCTTTTTTTACACGGTTTTTTGAAACAACGCGGTTTTTTTTTACACGGTTTTTTGAAACAACGCGGTTTTTTTTTACACGGTTTTTTGAAACAACGCGGTTTTTTTTTACGCGGTTTTTTGAAACAACGCGGTTTTTTTTTACGCGGTTTTTTGAAACAACGCGGTTTTTTTTTACACGGTTTTTTTTTACGCGGTACGTATCCCCCGTGTAAAAAAAGACTTGAGTGTACAACACAATAAACACTTTATCTTCCGCTATCCAAAAAGCCTCCTCCATCAGAACTGGAGCCGCTTCCAGTAGTTTCATTGTATGGCAAATTGTTGTACGCCAACGAGGGTCAGAGCGCGTCCATTGCAGCAATGGACGCAAAACGTGGTCAGCACTCATACACTCATCACGAAACGGTTGCTTTCCAAAGTCGACGACGCATCGACCGAAAGAACTGCTGATGAAGAACAATGAGGAGGACCACACAATGGTTGCTGCCAAGAAAACAGACGATCGCGTAGCACACATCGAGAGTGGCCTGCTTTTGTCGACAGCCGAGTGAACACTGTAGTTTTTTTCTGTTTATTGTGTCTGTGTGGTTTTAAGCATCGTTTCAGTGGTAGAGCGTTTAGCGCTCCCACTAGTACGGCAAAATGGACGTCTCGTCAGAAGACGATATGGACATTTTGTCGGAAGATGACACCAGTTTGCCACTCGATGGCAAGAAAAGACGAAAACGTCCTGTCATTCATGGTTCGTCTCAGAAAAGCCCCCGATCGCGAGCCTATCCAGATGACTCGACTGGGCCATGGGTTGTCTACTTTCAGCCCAAAAACAAACCTTTGAACTTGATGCAAATTTCCACTGATCTGACGAAGCGATACTCGGCCGTGACCGAAATCACGAAGGTTAGGCATAATAAACTTCGTGTTGTCGTTTCTAACCTGAAGCAGGCTAACGAGATTGCTGCCTCCCAGCTCTTTACGATTGAGTACAGGGTTTACATTCCAGCTCGTGATGTGGAGATCGAAGGTGTGGTCACCGAAGCGAGACTGACCCCCGAGATCTTGGAGAAGCAGGCGGTTGGCCGTTTCAAGAACCCCTTGCTCCCCCCGGTGAAGATACTGGATGTCCAAAAACTGGGCTCAGTATCTGTCAGCGAGGGTAAAAAGAGTTTTACCCCCACAGACTCGTTTCGCGTGACCTTTTCTGGTTCAGCCCTTCCTCAGTACATCGAGTTGGGAAAACTTCAGCTACCTGTGCGCTTGTTTGTTCCTCGGGTCATGATCTGCCAAAACTGCAAACAGTTGGGACATACGGCCTCTCACTGTGGCAGCAAGGCACGCTGTTCCAAATGCGGGGAGAAGCACGAGGATGGCGCCTGCACAGTCACGGCACCAAAATGCGTGTACTGCAAAGGATGTCCTCCTCATGGTCTCTCGTCGTGTCCGGTGTACAAACAACGCGGGGAAAAACTAGAGCGCTCTCTTAAAGAACGTTCCAGGCGGTCTTTTGAAGAAATGCTTAAGACAGCCAAGCCATCGACCAACGAAACAAATCCCTTCGCTCTTTTGTCAGATGACGAGTCTGGCTCTGACTTGGCTGAGGAGGGAGTTTCTTTCAGTTTTCCGAAAGGTTCTGCCCGGAAACGAAAACGCATCCGTTCGCGGAAAGTTGCAGATCAAGAACCCCAAATCAGCTTGCCCAAATCAAGGAGTGGTGGAAAAAAGGAGACTTCTACTCCTCCTGGATTCCGCAGAACTGATTATACCCAGGATTTTCCACCTCTCCCGGGGACATCCAAAACTCCCGATGCCCCAATTTTCAGAACACAAGCCCCTTCTTCATCTGGGTTGTTCTCATTTAATAACATTGTGGACAGTATCCTCAATTACCTCGATATTTCTGATCCTCTGAAGCAATCATCTCCTTCGATGGATAATTTTCCATACGAGGTCGGGGATTTGATCACTGTTCTACAGTGGAATTGTCGAAGTCTTATTCCTAAGATAGAATCGTTTAAGTTTTTGGTTCACAATAATGATTGTGATGCATTTGCTCTGTGTGAAACTTGGCTCTCTTCAGATATCGATCTTCCTTTTTATGATTTTAACATTATTCGACTGGATCGTGAGGATTCGCGTGGAGGAGGAGTACTTTTGGGGATCAAAAAGTGCCATTCCTTCTATAGAGTGAATCTTCCACAATTTCCAGGTATTGAAGTTGTCGCATGTCAGGCTTTTGTTAGAGGCAAGAGCCTTTGTATTGCTTCTGTGTATATTCCTCCCCGAGTTTCGATTAGTCAAAAACAACTTTCAGATATCTTGTCTGTGAGGACCACCCTAGCACAATACTATCACCGTAACAGCCGACCAGATGATGGCTCCGGCTATTGTACTGGCCATCGATCGACCAGCAGTTGATTGCAGATCACTTTCGCTTTCATTAGCACACGGGAGATGAGGTGGACGATGAGAGCGAGAGATTCGGTCTACGATTCGATCTCTTGTGAAACTCACCACATACACGATGGGATACTGGGATCGGGTTAGAGAGTAGATAACGGATATTTTGTATTTTAGTTGATAAGTGGCACAAGGTCGAAGACGGTCCTGCGAGACCGAGAAATATTATTGTAATTTGTGGTGTAGTCTGTTCAGAATAAATGTAGTGAAGTTAGAGTTTGTGTTTCGTACAAAACTTGTGTGTTAATGTTATTTGTATAATGAAGGAAGAACTTGTACCCTTCACCTGTTGTCCGTAATATGCGGTGAAGATTTGCGTGCCCATCACTGATCCGTTCCCTGTCGATCAATCATCGAACGATTGAGTTGGACACCAACAATCGTTGTTACGCTAGTGTAGAGCGTTCACCTCCACCGAAGTTTCTTCAGCAAGGACCCAGGTAAACCTACATAATTGGTCCTTCGAGCCGGATACCTGAGGACCGTGCCAGGACCCTAATCGTTCGATTGGCGCCATCGACGGACGGAATAGCCAGACCACACATCCATCGCACCATTGTATCCTGCGAAGAAGGGAGTGTCACCATCGTTCCGCGGGACAATTAGCGAGGCACAATCAGGCAGCAGCCATCTCGTCCTTCATCAATTGCCTGAAAGGTGATCCATTGTTGGAGGCTTAGCGCGCGCTTGGACTAAGCGCCGTTTGGATATGGAAACTGTCGGATGTTTGGAATTGGACTCGGTTTTCGTGCACTGACTTGGACATCGACTAGGACTGGACACTAACCAGGGACGGATTCCTGTTTCTCCAGGTAAATTAACACTTAGTGTATGTCCTACCGAAGTTAGGTGGTTTCGTGATTCTTACACCTCTCTTCGACTTCTCTTGATCTACCACACTACGACCAACCCATTGGTTCACCGATGACCGATCATTGACGATTGCGGTAATCTACGGTGCCACTACGAGCTACTATCCCTGGTGAAGAGTAATCCGACCACATACGTACCATTGCGCCGCCAGCCATCAGTGACGACGCCCATCGGCCGTGGTTATGGCCATCTTGTTCATCCGAACAAGGCATCCGACGGATTTCCACAACGAAGAGGGAGCACCATCATTCTATTGTCCGGGTGAGTCTATATAGAACTCTGTATATGTCTGCCGAAGCCTAGCAGCAGAAAATACACATTTTAATGGAAATTTGTATCCTCTTCGATTATTTGCGGACACATCCCTGATTTCCTCGCTGAGGTGAACTGCGATTTGAGTTTGAATTTCATTGCTGGGTTTTGCACCGCTGCTGGTTCTCTGGGTGAGTTGACCGCAGTATATGCCCGGCCGAAGTCGGATTCTAGTGGTACTACATTGGTTCCTCCTCCTCTTCTCCCAATTCTCGTTGGCATTCAATCGGAGTTTCGACATCTGGTGACATCATACGATAGGAGTTTTGACATCTGGCAAGTTCATTCAACGTTGATCATTGATTGATGTGTAGAAGTATTCGATCGATTGGACACTTGTGGAGCTGTTGGTTTCTCTAGGTGAGCTTCCTCAGTATATGTCCAGTCGAGGTTGGATATTTTTGAATACTACATGCTGGTTTCCTCTCCTCTTCATACGTTCCTTATTCGCTAATGAGCATTACCATCAATGTACCTGTGTCGTGACTGAAGCTTTGGTCAATTGTATTGCTGACTTTGGATCGTCGGAGGAATCGTTTGTTGTAAAGGTCAGTTAACATAGAATAGTGTGTGTCCACCGAAGCAAGGGACCACAGTATACTACAACGACACTTCTCTTCTCGTTCCGTATCAACTATACCGAGCTAACATCATGCCTACCAAGAAGCCGTGTACCAGGAAGTCGGTTCTGAAACTCCTCATTACTAAGCTGAAGGAGATTGAGTTGGCCTTCAAGGACATCTGGCGTTTCACGGAGAAAATCCAGGATACAACGACCACTACACAGATCAATCTACGGTTGGAGAAAATCGACGAACTGTGGGAGAGGTATGGTGCTACTCTCGTCGAGCTTAAATCGCAAGATGACTTCGACGATGAAAACGACGAATTCGAGATACAAAGACAGGAGTTTAGCGACCGTTACTATCAAGCAAAATCCATATTAATAGATCAGGCTAGGGACAGGCAGGAACCTACATCGTTGAACCAATCCATCCGTGGTGCTGAACCATCAGTAACAGCCACGCTTGATCACGTTCGTCTTCCGCAGATTAAGCTGCAATCGTTCAACGGGGAGATAGACGAGTGGTTGAGTTTCCGGGACTTATTCACTTCTTTGATCCAATGGAAGACGGATCTTCCAGAGGTAGAAAAGTTCCACTACTTGAAGGGATGTCTGCAAGGGGAACCGAAGACGTTGATCGATTCGTTGCAGATCACCGCTGCCAATTACCAAGTTGCATGGGCTATGCTGTTGAAGCGGTACAACAACAGCAAGCAACTGAAGAAACGCCAAATCCAATCTCTCCTCAAGTTACCCACCCTATCCAAGGAATCCGCTAACGAGTTGCATAGTCTAGTTGAAGGGTTCGAAAAGATTGTGCAAACGTTGGACCAGATTGTACAACCGGTTGACTACAAGGATCTCCTACTGGTTAATCTGTTGACGTCTCGTCTAGATCCGTCCACTCGCCGGGGTTGGGAAGAGTTTTCTTCGACCCAGGAACAGGACACCCTCAAGGAACTTCTCGAATTTCTCCAACGGCGAGTTCGCATATTGGAATCCTTACCGTCCAAGACTGCAGATCCTATGAAATCATCGAACCATCCACAACCACCAAGGCAAAGGAGCACTGCAGTCAGGACTAGCCTCAACACTGTCCAAGCGTCCGGATGGCGTTGTTTTGCCTGCGCTGGAAATCATCCACTGTTCCAGTGTGGCTCATTCCAACGGATGTCAGTGACGGATAAGGATTCGTTACTGCGGTCCCATTCGTTGTGTAGGAACTGCTTCAGACAAGGACATCAGGCAAGGGAATGTCAGTCGAAGTACTCGTGTCGGAATTTTAAGGGTCGACACCACACGTTGGTCTGCTTTAAACCGGATAGGGACTCCAACTCCAAGGCATCAACCAAGGGCAGCAACGTATCCAAGGAAGCTTCGGAATCCAGTCCATCCTCCAGACAATCAACATCCTCTTCCACTCCTCAAGTAGCTAACTTGTCAGCTACTGACAGCTTGGTGGTAGGTACAGTCCACCAGTGCTCATCCAAGGTTTTGCTGGCTACAGCGGTTGTCGTAGTTCAGGATGATGACGGCAATCGGATGCCAGCACGAGCTCTTCTAGATTCTGGATCGGAGAGCAATTTTATCTCAGAACGTCTCAGTCAGCGTCTGAAGATTACTCGCCGTAGGGTGGATATTTCGGTTCTTGGCATTGGTCAGGCAGCTACCAAGGTCAAGCAACAAGTCACGGCAATGGTTCGATCACGGTTGTCAGAGTATTCACGCCAAATGAACTTCCTAGTTTTGCCTAAGGTTACGGTGAACCTGCCGACTACCACCATCAACACATCCGGTTGGACACTTCCAGAAGGAATCGAGCTTGCTGATCCATCGTTCTGTATATCCTCAGGGGTGGATCTCGTCCTGGGAATAGAAGCATTCTTCGACTTCTTCGACTCGGGTAGGAAAATCTCGCTTGGAGAGCGACTTCCAGCGTTACACGATTCAGTCTTTGGTTGGGTAGTCAGTGGAGGATACACCGAAGGCAACCATAGTATGCAAATCAACTGCAACATGGCAACAACGGATCGTTTGGAGGAACTACTATCCCGATTTTGGTCCATAGAGGAGGTTGAGTCAATCAACAATTATTCTCCAGAAGAATCCCGCTGTGAAGCAATGTTTGCGAGTACGGTGCAGCGTGGAGCGGACGGCCGCTATTCTGTTTCCCTACCCAAGGACGAAAACGTCATTTCTCGGATGGGCGAATCTATGGAGTACGTGCAATTAGGTCACATGCGGAAGGTCGAAGGACAACAAGGATCCATTAAACGTTGTTTTCTTCCGCATCATCCGGTGGTGAAGGAGGCCAGCACCACCACCAAGGTTCGCGTGGTGTTTGACGCGTCTTGTAAAACGTCTACGGGATTGTCGTTGAACGATGCATTGCTGGTAGGGCCAGTAATACAGCAAGATCTTCGATCCATCATCCTTCGTTGCTGCACAAAGCAAATCATGTTAGTCGCCGACGTGGAGAAAATGTTCCGCCAGATCTTCGTTATTTCCATAGATCGACCACTCCAATCCATCTTCTGGCGTTCATCAACATTAGAGGAGGTAGGAATTTACGAGCTGAACACTGTCACTTACGGAACGAAACCAGCTCCGTTCCTAGCAACTCGCACACTCAACCAGATGGCAATCGACGAAGGCTATCGATATCCATTGGCAGTTGCTGCGATTACCGAAGATACGTATATGGATGACGTGATAACGGGCTGCGATACTCTGGAGGAGGCCAAGAAGCTGCAGATTCAGCTAGACGGAATGACGAGCAGCGGTGGTTTTCGGCTCAGAAAATGGGCATCCAACTGTGCAGAAGTCTTGCACGGAATTCCCGAAGAGAATCTTGCGATCCGTGCATCCGAAGGAATCAATCTCGATCCAGACCCTTCCGTCAAGGCGTTAGGACTAACATGGCTCCCTAATTCCGACGTTTTCCGATTTCAGTTTGAAATTCCGCCGATCAATCCAGACGAAGTACTCACCAAACGTCAGGTCCTCTCGATCATCGCCACCTTGTTTGATCCATTGGGATTCATCGGTGCCACTATTACAGCTGCTAAGGTCTTCATGCAGCTTTTGTGGACTTTGGAGGATGAAGACGGCAAGAGGTTAAATTGGGATAAGCCGATACCTTCAATGGTGGGTGAGTCTTGGAGAAATTTTCACGTCCAACTACCGATCCTCAACGATATCCGCATAGATCGTTGTGTGATCATTCCTCAAGCCATGGAGATCGAGATTCACTGCTTCTCGGATGCGTCGATGAAGGCATACGGTGGATGCCTATATATTCGAAGCCAGGATCAGGATGGAAATGTCAAGGTTCAACTACTCACTTCCAAATCCAAGGTTGCTCCTCTGAAATCCCAATCAATTCCTCGATTGGAGCTTTGTGGTGCACTGGTAGCTGCACAAGTTTTCGAGAAGGTTCTACAGGCTACCAAACTTACTGTTCGCACGACGTTTTGGGTAGATTCAACGTGTGCTCTTCGCTGGATACAGGCTTCTCCGTCTACTTGGTCTGTATTCGTCGTAAACAGAGTAGCGAAAATCCAGGCGATTACGGAAGGTTGCGAATGGAGGCACATTGCGGGTGCTGACAATCCGGCAGATTTGGTTTCGAGGGGAATCGGACCGAAAGAGATACTCAACAACAATTTTTGGTGGCATGGGCCGAGCTGGCTAGCTCAGGATCGAAACACTTGGCCAATCTCAGCGAACCTTCTGTCTGAGGGGGTGTTCGAAGAGGAAAAAAGACGAACGGCAGTTGTCACCTCAGCTTCAGCGGTTGAAGAGTTCAACGAATGGTTCATTTCCAAGTCAACTTCCTACACAGTACTGGTTCGGCGCATCGCCATATGGTTGCGATTGATGCGGTCACTTCGAAACTCAAGGGAAAATCGATCGACTGGATTCCTGTCGTCAGACGAGTTACGCAAGGCGGAGTTCGTTCTCATTCGGAAGGTCCAGAAAGAAACGTTTCCAGAAGAGCTGAAGGCTGTTAGGAGGAATGAACCTGTATCCAGAAGGTCACCCTTGCGCTGGTATAGCCCGTTTATTTGCGAAGAAGGCATTTTGAGGATTGGTGGGCGTTTGAAGAATTCCAGAGAGTCTGACGCCACCAAGCACCCTATGATACTGCCAGCACGTCATCGTTGTACCAAGATGGTTTTTGAGCAATATCACCTTCGTTTGCTTCACGCTGGTCCGCAAATTTTGTTGGGATCGATCCGTCAACGTTTCTGGCCATTAGGAGGAAGAAATGTTGCTAGACAGGTAGTCCATCAGTGTCTAACGTGCTTCAGGTCGAAACCAAAGCTGGTGCAGCAATTCATGGGAGAGTTACCTGCATCGAGAGTCACAGTTTCTCGCCCCTTCTCGAAAACTGGTGTTGACTACTTCGGGCCGGTTTATATTCGGCCAGGACCACGTCGTGTTGCTGTCAAGGCATACGTGTCCATTTTTGTATGTATGTGTACGAAGGCCGTGCACATCGAACTGGTGTCTGACTTGTCCACCGACAGGTTCCTGCAAGCACTCCGACGTTTCATCGCACGTAGAGGAAGGTGTACCGATTTGTATTCGGACAACGGCACTAATTTCGTTGGAGCCCGAAATCAGCTGCAGGAACTGTTTACATTATGGAAGGAGAGACAACATCGAGATCAGGTGTCTAGGTTCTGCGCTGATGAAGGGATCGAATGGCACTTCAACCCTCCCAGCGCACCCCACTTCGGAGGACTGTGGGAAGCAGCGGTTCGATCGGCTAAACACCATATACTACGGGTCATTGGTTATAACCCAGTTACACTGGAAGATATGAACACGCTGCTGGTTCAGGTAGAGGGTTGTTTGAACTCCAGACCCCTAACACCGATGTCTGACGATCCAAATGATCTCGAACCGTTAACCCCAGCTCATTTCTTGGTTGGAACCTCTCTACAATCTTTTCCCGAAGAAGATCTGCGAACGGTGCCAACAAATCGACTGAAGCATTGGCAGGCAGTTCAGCAGCAGTTGCAACACTTCTGGGATAGATGGAAGCGAGAATACCTTTGCCAGCTGCAAGGTAGATCAAGGCGATGGAATCCACCTGCGGCAATCGAAGTAGGAAGGCTCGTCATCGTGCAGGATAATAATCAACCACCGATGCGTTGGCGTATGGGTCGAATTGTCCAAGTACATCCCGGTAGCGACGGTGTTGTAAGAGTAGTTACACTCAAAACTGGATCAGGAGCATTGAAGCGGCCAGTCGAGAAGATTTGTTTGTTACCTGTTGCAGAGTCGACCCACGATATCGAATTATAATTTTGTATACCTTTCCCCTATCCCATCCCAATCGAAGAGGATTCTTTATTTTCAGAAACGGATATTTCTGGGTGGGTGAGCATGTCTGTGAGGACCACCCTAGCACAATACTATCACCGTAACAGCCGACCAGATGATGGCTCCGGCTATTGTACTGGCCATCGATCGACCAGCAGTTGATTGCAGATCACTTTCGCTTTCATTAGCACACGGGAGATGAGGTGGACGATGAGAGCGAGAGATTCGGTCTACGATTCGATCTCTTGTGAAACTCACCACATACACGATGGGATACTGGGATCGGGTTAGAGAGTAGATAACGGATATTTTGTATTTTAGTTGATAAGTGGCACAAGGTCGAAGACGGTCCTGCGAGACCGAGAAATATTATTGTAATTTGTGGTGTAGTCTGTTCAGAATAAATGTAGTGAAGTTAGAGTTTGTGTTTCGTACAAAACTTGTGTGTTAATGTTATTTGTATAATGAAGGAAGAACTTGTACCCTTCACCTGTTGTCCGTAATATGCGGTGAAGATTTGCGTGCCCATCACTGATCCGTTCCCTGTCGATCAATCATCGAACGATTGAGTTGGACACCAACAATCGTTGTTACGCTAGTGTAGAGCGTTCACCTCCACCGAAGTTTCTTCAGCAAGGACCCAGGTAAACCTACATATCTGTTCAGTACTTCCTGCTCCACGGTTGATTATGGGAGATTTTAATTCCCACGGTACAGGCTGGGGGAACTGTATGATGACAACCGTTCTACTTTGATATATGACCTCTGTGATAACTTCAATATGACAATTCTTAACAATGGAGAAGTAACACGTCTGGCTGGTCCATCTTCAAATGGAAGTAGATTAGACCTCACACTTTGCTCTAATTCATTATCGTTGGATTGCACGTGCACAGCAAAAAAATAATTTTGATATCACGTCAAAGTGGATGCACTACAATCATGTCGAAAATATGGTGTAATATTACTTGCTAAAAAGGACAAAATTATCATTAATACAATGCATGAACTGACATTACGCTGCTTTTACTGCATTTGTTTATTTATGTGGTCATAAAAATTACATGAAATTTTCGACATGATTGTAGTGCATCCACTTTGATGTGATACCAAAATTATTTTTTTGCTGTGTGGAATGTGATCCAGGATCCCCACGGTAGCGATCACTTGCCGATCGGCATTTCGATTGCCAGTGGGTTCAATTCGTCGGAATCCGTTAACGTCGCGTACGACCTCACCCGTAATATCGATTGGACAACGTTCAAGACCGCGATAGATGAAGCCGTGTCGTCGGTAGAAGAGCTTCCACCGTTGGAGGAATATAACTTCCTCTCCAATCTGATCTTGGACAGCGCGCTTCGAGCTCAAACTCAGCCGGTTCCAGGAACGTTTTTTCGTAGGAAACCTCCTACCCCTTGGTGGGACCAGTAATGCACTGAGGTTTATCGTAAAAAGTCCGACGCGTTTAAGCTTTTCCGGAAACGCGGAACACCCGAGTATTTCGAAGCGTACTCGACTCTTGAACACGAACTCAAGAGCCTCATCAAAGCCAAGAAACGCGGATACTGGCGGCAATTCGTGGACGGTTTATCGCGCGAAACGTCGATGAATACGCTTTGGAACACGGCGCGAAGGATGCGTAACCGGTCTTCAAACAACGAGAGCGAGGAGTACTTGGATCGGTGGATTCTCAAGTTCGCGCGAAAAGTATGTCCTGATTCCGTGCCGGCACAGATGATTCCTCGCGAAACGACGAATTCGGTAGACGAGATCAGCCAGCCTTTTTCAATGCTGGAGCTCTCACTCGCCCTCCTTTCGTGTCGCAATTCGGCTCCGGGGGCTGATAGGATCAAGTTCGACTTATTGAAGAACCTCCCAGACGTCGCTAAGAGGCGCATGTTGAACTTGTTTTGTCAGTTCCTGGAGTTCAATATTGTTCCAGATGATTGGAGGCGAGTGAGAGTTATATCCATTAAAAAGCCTGGAAAACCCGCGTCAGATCATAACTCGTATCGTCCCATCGCGATGTTATCGTGCATTCGAAAATTGTTGGAGAAAATGATCCTTTTTCGCCTCGACAAATGGGTTGAGACGAACCACCTACTCTCAGATACTCAATTTGGCTTCCGTAGGGGTAAGGGAACAAACGACTGTCTCGCGTTGCTTTCCACAGAAATCCAGTTGGCTTTTGCTAAAAAAGAGCAAATGGCTTCTGTGTTCTTGGATATTAAGGGGGCTTTTGATTCAGTATCGGTTGAAGTCCTTTCAGAGAAACTCCATGTTTGTGGATTGTCTCCATTAATTAATAATTTTTTGTACAATTTGCTGTCAGAAAAACATATGAGCTTTTCTCATGGAAACTCTACAGCTTTTCGATTTAGCTACATGGGTCTCCCCCAAGGCTCATGTTTAAGCCCCCTTTTGTACAATTTCTACGTTAGAGAAATTGACAATTGTCTTAGTGACAATTGCACGTTGAGACAACTTGCAGATGATGGCGTAGTGTCTATCACAGGGCCAAAAGAGGTTGACCTGCAAGGACCCTTACAGGATACCTTAGACAATTTGTCTTCTTGGGCTATTCAGCTAGGTATCGAATTCTCCACGGAGAAAACTGAGTTGGTCGTTTTTTCTAGGAAGCATAGCCCAGCACAACCGAAGCTTCATCTTTTGGGTAAGCCGATCACTCATTCCATGTCTTTCAAATATCTTGGGGTCTGGTTCGATTCCAAATGCACCTGGAGATCCCACATTGAGTATCTGAGACGAAAATGCCAACAAAGGATCAATTTTCTCCGAACAATTACCGGAACGTGGTGGGAAGCTCATCCGCAAGATCTTCTAACGTTGTACCGGACAACGATTTTATTGGTTTTAGAGTACGGTAGTTTTTGCTTCCAGTCGGCGGCTAAAACTCACATCATCAAACTGGAACGTATCTAGTATCGTTGTCTTCGTATCGCGTTAGGATGCATGCACTCGACTCATACGATGAGTCTCGAAGTGTTGGCGGGCATGTTGCCACTATCGGATCGGTTTTCGGAATTGTCCCTCAGGCTCCTCACCCGTTGTGAAGTTATGAACCCACTGGTAATCGAAAACTTTGAGAAGCTTCTTGAGCTAAACCCTCAAACTCATTTTATGTCATTGTACTACGTGTACATAACTCAGGATGTCAGCCCTTCACAGCATAATCCCCATCGTGTATGCTTCTCCGACTTCGGTAATTCAGTTAGTTTTGATTTATCTATGACGCGGAAGATTCGTGGAATCCCAGAACATCATCGTTCCATGATTGTTCCGTCAATTTACGCTGCAAAGTTTGGCCAAGTTGATTCCGCAAGATCGTTCTTCACAGATGGATCATTAATAGAGTCGTCCGCTGGTTTTGGTATTTTTAACGAATTTCATAGCGCCTCTCGAATGCTTCAACCTCCTTGTTCCGTATATGTTGCTGAACTGGCGGCAATACACTATACGCTAAAAACGATCGCCTCACTTGCACCAGATCACTATTTTATTTTTACGGATAGTCTCAGTTCTGTCGAGGCTATTCGATCCATGAGGCCGGTAAAGCACTCCTCGTATTTTCTCATGAAAATACGAGAGCTTCTGAGTGCTTTATCTTTAAGATCTTTTGTCATCACCTTTGCATGGATCCCATCTCATTGCTCGATTCCGGGCAATGAGAAGGCGGACTCACTTGCTAAGGTGGGCGCTATGCAAGGCGATATTTACGATCGACAAATCGCCTACAATGAATTTTTCTTCATTTATCGTCAACAGTCGCTCGCCAGCTGGCAAAATAAATGGAGTGAAGGAAGTTTCGGACGATGGCTATTCTCGATCATCCCTAAGGTGTCGAAGAGTCCTTGGTTCAAGGGGTTGGATGTGCGTCGAGACTTCATTCGTCTGATGTCTCGCCTCATGTCCAATCACTATTCGTTAAACGCTCACTTGTTTCGTGTTGGGCTGGGAGACAGCAATCTCTGTGAATGTGGACAAGGTTACCAAGACGCCGATCACATCCTTTGGTCTTGTGCTGAGCATCGTGGAGTCAGATTTGAGCTGTGCGATTCGCTTCGGGCTCGAGGTAGACAACCTAATGTTCCAGTTTGGGATATTTTGGCTAGACGTGATCTGGAGTTTATGAAACTCATATATGTTTACTTTAAGAATACTAACCTTAGATTGTAAGTTTGATTAACCTTGTGTTTAGTTTGTGTATTGTGCGTGTAGTTTTTTTTTTAATGTTTGTTTTCAAGATGAATAGAAATAAGTTCATGTGTTAGGATTAATTAAATATTTGTATAATAAATCATATTTCAAACCTCCTTCTCCCTTTTCCCATCCAAAAAAAAATTAAATCTACACTAACCTCGAGACGACCGCGAGTACTCGGTCCAGTTCCTTTAACTTTAAATTTAAGACAGTAATAATGTATAACGCAAAGGATAACTCAGCTCTGTAAAGTTTATTGGATTGAGCCTGTGCAAATAAATTAATATAAAAAAATATATAAAAGTATTTTTCCATTAAAAAAAATTGTCAATGTAAAAGTTTTTCAATGCATCGAATCTCTCTGGGCGCCACTGAATGTAATATCGAAATGTGACTCAGACACAGCGCCATCCAATTCAATCCACTGGAATTGATCCCACGCAATTTCATCTTTACCGCAGCGCTGTTCGAACCGCGGTAATGAGTTGTTTTCGCTTGTTACGACGATGGCGGCGCGGCGTCTTATAACAAGATCGCTGACCATACACGGTACTTACCGTTTCGCCTAGATACATCGTAGGTAGCTACTTAATAGGCGCGAGTAAGTACACATAAATTGACCAATGTTCCCGGCCGACCTGGGAGCTGATTTAGGGTGTATGTACGTCATACACAGCCGGAGTAGATCTAAATGACCCTGGCGCATACTTTTGGGCATCTAATTTTCGCTCATTAGGCCTACATTTCCCTGCCGCTCGCCACTAGCGCTGTGCTGATGGTAGAGTTTGGTCGAACTTTCCGATGAATTTAAATGCTTCAAACGATTTGATGCGCAATGGTTGATTCTTTAAGGTAGTCGAAAAAAAAAATCGTTTCTGCTGATCGAGGTTTAATCGAGAATTCAAGATACCGCTCCACGATGACCACCGCCAATGCAGGGAGCAGTTGTACAACCGATCTTCTTGTTCTTTAAATCTCCAACACTCAGCAGTAGGGGAATGGTCGATCGCCGTCCATGATAATTTTTAGTTGACTCATCGTCGTCCATTCCATACGATCGATCAGATCTACCGATGATCGAAGGGAGAAAGAAGGTAGCTCTTTTATAGAGCAGCAAGATCTGCACTATCATCACCGGCTATAATTTTCGCTCGGCTCCAAGTCTTGTCTGAACATTTCCCTTCCCGATTTGAACCTCTTTCGGGCTAGATTTTGGGCGCACTTTGGCCCAATGTGTGCTGCGGCTTTGGCATCGGCGTCGGCGGTGGCGGCGCTATAATAAGGGCAAAATATAGCAATAATTGACTTATTGACGCGCATCATTACCAATCAACCGTGTATCGATGAGAGGGAGATAGAGAGAGAGAGAGCCGGATGCAAAGGAAGGAAAGTTTTACCGTTAGGATTATTGGCCCCCAAATCGATTTACCCCAGACTATCGGGGAGCAACGGGCCTTCGGGGTGATTGTTATTGGTTCGAACTGTTATTTTTTCGGAGGTCTAGTCTCGCTCGAGTGCCGACGATGGTGGCAAATTAGATTTCCGAAAATGATTGATCAGATTCAACATGACGACGACGATCAGTGGAGGATGATCTGATCCGAGGACGACGGTTGCAGTGCGGGGGAAAGTTGCTCGGATTGATTACTGGGTCTGCTACCAATCGGCAGTTTCGGAAGGCGCACTCTTTTGGCCCCTGTTGGCGGTGAAATGTTGCCTACTGATTGGTGATCGCTGCTGGCGCCTGTATCCTGACTAATTTGGTGAAATTGTATTCCCAGAACGGTATTGTGCTGCTTAATTTTGGAGCAGCTGTCGAATTAGGCTTAGACAATTTCCATAACAGAGAGGCAAGAATTTGTTTTGCCGATGAATTTCATCCAAAATTGATAACATTTATTTTATTTCGACATGAGAAAATCTAATGGCATGTTTCGTACGCTTGTAGAATGATTTAAAGATGGACATTTCGGTTGCTAATATATGCACCAAATTGATAATGTTGTTGTGCCGGACCGTTAATGGGTCTACTAACCTGGTAAACAATCTACAAATAAATTATAACTTTCGGTGATTAGGACAGCCTTGAAAATCTGGTCCGTTATATTTGATAAAATAATTGTCTAATGAATGCTCAGAAATGTTTTAAAGTTCCAAACAAATAATTAGGAACACTGTAAATTACTGCGAAGTTTTCTGAATAAATTAAGTTATAACCACATTTACAGTTAATTATTACACATTTTTATTTGATCTGCCTTGAAAACAGTGATCCAGCCATACAGCCTGCCTGATTGATAGTTAGGGGCTGTTCATTAACTACGTAGACAGTTTTTTTTGAATTCTTGACCCGAGGGGAAATAATTAAAAAAAATGCAATAATTTTTAATAATTTTGAATTTTTTGTAAAAAATAAAATAATTTTTTACGGTATTTATTTTTTCTTGAAAGGCACAATACTTGTCCGCAACTTTGCCCAAGACACCATCTCGATCAAACAAATCGTTCGTGAGATATATGTTTTTCTATTAATGTGTATCATTTTTGCATAAGCCCTTTTCAAGTGTTAATCGTGTACAAAACTAGGGAACCAAATATGTAAAATGGCAGGTTGGACAATAACAAACAACTGTGTATAATAACAAGTAATTCTAAAAACATCGATCCGAAACGATTTGTGAATCTGTGTTTTTTGTTTTTTTTTTTTTATATACAGGGGGGAATCTGCTCACAGACACAGACTGGTATCCGCTCCGCATATCGCTAGCATAACGCTCATTACTGGCTCGAAGCGTGGACAGGCGAACACAACGTGTTCCGCCGTCTCTTCGACACCAGCGCACGCGGGGCAGGTGGAAGTACTTGCATGTCCGAACCTATGCAAGTAACTCCTAAAGCAACCATGGCCTGACAGGAGCTGTGTCAGGTGGAAGTTTACTTCCCCATGGCGCCTGTTAACCCAGCTTGATACGAAAGGTATCAAGCGGTAGGTCTACCTCCCCTTTGTGGAGTTTTCCCGCTCCGACTACCACCTCGCAATCGATACCACGCGCGCGTTGTTGCGCACCCCTCGAACAGTCCTCGTGTCGTAGCACTCCACATCCTCCTTGATGATTAGGCCGATTGGCATCATTCCTGCTATGACACAGACGGCCTCCCTCGAGATGGTGCGGTATGCACTGGCCACCCTCAAGCACATTAGCCTATGTGTACTCTCTAATTTCCGCCTGTGGCAGTCAGTATCCAGTACCGCAACCCACGCCGGGCCTCCGTATCTGAGGATAGATACTACGACCCCGGCGAGGAGCCTGCGCTTACTGGCACTCACCGCCGCGCTGTTTAATATCGTGCGGGATAATGCCCCCACAGCCGTAGACGCTCTCTTGCAGGTGTACTCGACGTGGCAGCCGAAGCTGAGCTTATCATCGAGCATAACCCCCAAGAGTTTCAGAGAGCGCACAGACCTAATTGTGCTCTCGCCAACTGTCAACGTCGCATACTGCACCGACATGCGATTGTTGACTACGACCACCTCCGTCTTGTGATGGGCAAGCTCCAGTTTCTTGGATCTCATCCATTCCTCCACAAGCTTAACGGAGTGAGCCGCTGTTAGCTCTAACTCTTCGAGGGATTCCCGTAGACTACCAGGGAATCTTATCCTCAACACTCCATCTTACATGACGTTCCATAGCACCGGGCCCAGGATGGAGCCTTGTGGCAGTCCTGCCATCTTCTGTGTCCTACTTCAACACACGATTCTGGAAGTAGCTTTCCAAAATCTTGTGCAGCCCTCCGGGGATTCGGAGTTGGTGTAGCGTGCGGGCTATCGCCCCCCAGCACGCGCTGTTGAGCGCGTTCTTCACATCTAAAGTAACCACCGCGCAGTAACGAATGCCCCTTCGTTACCGATGGACCACCTCTGCCGTCTGGATGACGCCGCGGATGGCTTCCACCGTAGATCTGCCTTTTCGGAACCCCGTACTGGCTGCTTGACAGGCCGTCTACACCTTCGGTGAAAGCCAACAGCCTATTGAGCATAACCCTTACAAGCAGTTTACCAGTGATGTCCAGCAAACAGATGGGCAGCATACAGGCGGGTCCCCAGAGGGTTTTCCTGACTTCGGGAGAAGTACCAGCCTCTGATGTTTCCACGCATCTGGGAAGATGCCTACGTCCAGACAGGTCTGAAATACAGACCTGAACATGTCTGGATTTTCCGCAACGGCCGCCCTCAGAGCCACAACCGGGATCCCATCCGAGCCCGGGGCCTTGTTCACCACCAGCGACTTGGCAATGTCGGTCAGTTCACTGTTAGTCACTCTAGACGCCAGCATCGCCGGCGATCTCTCCGGGGGTGCCACCACACTACGGGTCTTGGCCATGACCACTTTATAGGCATCCCCTAGGGGTTCGTGTTAGCGCTTTGGCATAAGCTGTCGAAGCACGCGCGCTTGCATCTGGCGATCTCTTTGTTGAGGCACGGCGTTCCTCTCGAGATTCGGCCGTACGAGCCCGTTGCATCCTCCTTCTCCCGCCTCAGTGCTTCACTGAAGAACGACGTCCGCCAGCCTCGAGCGCAGGAGGGACTTCCTCCTGCCACTTGCCTCTCCCCTTGCCCCACACTGTAGCGAATCGCCTGATGATCGCTGTGGGTGTAACCCTCATCGACCCTCCAGTGTAGGTTGCCCTCCAAACACGGGCTGCAGTACGTCACGTCAATGACGGATTCTGCACCATTCCTTCTGTAGGTACTGACCGAACCGGTGTTGGATAGTACAACGTCCAGTTTGGCCATTGCCTCCAGTAGGATGCATCCTCTCTGGTTGGTGTGGTGGCTGCCCCACTCCACCGCCCATGTGTTAAAGTCGCCCGCAATGACCACCGGTCTTAGGTCGACAAGTACCGCAGTGAGTCTGTGAGAACTGGTCGATGGACCACCTGGGCGAAGCATAACAGCTACTTAGATATACTCAGTTGACCCTGGCGATCACGAATCCCTCGCTCGAGTTGGACGAGACCACCTCCTGAACGGGGAAGCTCCACATCGTGCATATCGCTGCCATCCCCAACGCGTCCGTGAACCATTTCCCGATACTGGATGGGACCCGGTACGGATCGGAGATGACTGCGACACCCACTTCCCATTCCGCTGCCGATTGCCACAGCAGTTGCTGGGCGGCCGCGCAATGGTTCAGGTTCAACTGCGCTACCTCGAACATGGCTGAGCATTGCTCTTGGCCGGGGCAGCATTGCTCTTGGCCCCCGGGCAACGCGGGCCACCTGCCATGTGGTTGGTAGGGGATTTCCCTTTCTCCGCGCATATTGTGCACTTCGGTGGCTTTTGGCAACTTTGCGCCTTATGGCCCTCCGAACCACACCAGCTGTGCAGACTTGCTTCTATCGGTGTTCTTGCAGTCACGAGCCAGATGGCCCTGACCGAAGCACCTGAAGCAAGCCGTAACCGGTCGGGGAATGCTCACGGGGCAAACCGACCAGCCAACTCGTACCCTCCCTATGGCTGCCGCCTTTCTGGCATCAGCTGCCGGGAGCTTGACGGTAGCCACCTGGGTGGAGAACAGTCCTTGCTCAGGGTAACCGCTATTGACGGTTCCTCGATTTGGCACTGCTCCCTGAGCGCCTTGGCTAGTTCGGTCTCCTCTGTCACTTCGTCCAATTCCTTAACCTGGATGGTGATCGTCGAGCCTAGCGTTCTTCCCTGTACCCCATTACCAACGACCGCCCCAAGTAACACATAAAACATCTTTTTGAAAAAGAACTAGAACGGCTTGTTGTATAAATGTATTATAAGTGATGCAAAAAACATCCCACGTTATATATGAGGTTTAAAGATGTTTTCTTAATACTTCCTAGATTTCAACATTTTCCAAAATAGTTTTCTTTTGCTTTTATCTTTAAATGTTATTTGAACGTGCATCTTACTGTTTAAATACCACTATAAAACTGGTCGTATACAAAATCAATCTTAATTGAATTTATAAAGTCCTTGAAGAAATTCTGTACTTTCCAGATTGACGTAAACATTGACGGCGCCATAGAGACGGAGTGTCTCTTCACGCACTGATTAACAGTTTCTTATGATGTTTTCGGAGGTTTGTTATAAAGAAAGTTGAAAACACTTTGCTATGACATCTCATATACTAATGCAACTGAAAAGGTGTAGGTTGTCTTATAAGGAGTTGAAAATACTTTCAAATAACACTCTGGAAATTGAATGTACGCTTTGCTGTACTCAACAGATGGCGGTAATGTTTTTGCGACGATGTTTTACACTGAGAAATATTCAATGTGTTATGTCTGTTTGTCTGTGCTTATACCAACCTTACATCAAGTGGAGTTGGTCCAGTTAGGAAGTAATAAGTCTACCACGCCAAGGACCAGTGTTCGAATCCCATGCTCAAATTTTTTTTTATTGTTTTTTTAGCCGCTGGTTTTTATGATGTTTCCACAACATGTTATAACACCAGTATTTAGTTTTATAAGCTCCGCGTCTTGCGCTTTATGAGTTGTATAAATGTATTAAATGATGTATATTAAAGTATTATTGACTCTTTACGTAAGTCGTGTTGCTTGGGTCATCCCTGGTCGGTCCCTGGTCTTTAGCGCTACGCTTAAGCACCAGGAGCATCTCGCCAGTACGAGTGCGCCTGATGCTCCTCACGTTGTTGCCCATCTCCGCAAGACGCTCGGCCGCTCTCATCTTCCTCAAAACTTCCGCGTGCTTCGACGCTTCCGTCTTGATGATGAGAGCCTCGCCCATCGTCTTGTGCTTGTTCCGGGCAGTGCTTCTCTTAGGGGCAGTTTTTTCCGGGGGTTTCGGGGGTTTCGGGGGTTTCGGAGGAGCGTCTTTATTACCACCCTGTTTGGAACCATCACTTTTCTCAATCGCTCTGTTCCCTATTTTGGGCCGCTTCTGCTGCCTTGGACTGTTCGACCACGGCCACACACTCTACCTGGACAGATACTTTCCGTCTCTTAGGGCGTGCCGCACCCTTTACTGGCGAGGGCCGGTCATGCTTCTGCCCTTGCGTCACGTCAAAGTGGAGAGCCTCGCTGTCCATCGTACTGTTGCCTGCGAAGTTGAAGGCGTCCGTCTGGGCAGACTTCGGCTCCCTTTTCTCCGCTCTCTCGGCGGCTTCCAGTCGCTTCTTTAGCCACTCGTGGTCGTCCTGAGCCTCGTTCACAGTTGCGCGGAGCTGTCGTTAGGCCTGCTTGAGGTCCTTCGCGATATTGTTCCGCGTGCTCGTGAACTCGTTGATAGCATCGAGCTGACCCGCGATAGCCAGCATCCTAGGGAGGGCCCCAAAGCCACTTAGCCTGGGCCCATCCATAGGTTGTTCCTCTAGCTGTCCAGCGGTCCCGTCGCTTAGCTCTGCGTCCTGCAGAGGTTACGGCCGCTTGGTGCCCTTGTTCGGATCACTGGGTGGGGGAGATCTCGTAAGACCACCCTTCGCGAATGGGTTCGCGGTCGCCTCCTTGGCGACTTGTTCTCTGGGTTAGGTTTTGAGCTGATTTTGATGATTTTCCAACATCCTGACTGTTGGGTCCCCTTTAGACCGCTATCCTAACCGTGCAACTGGAATAGTCGCAGTTTGATCCCCATGGGTGCCTATGCAAGCAGTGAGGTCCATTGCGAGGGTTGACATAGGCCTTAATGGGGCGCTATGTTCAGAGCCGGATCGCGTAAGACGGGAATAACTCAACCGAACCTATTTCCACCGCAATCTCCCAACTGGGAGGCACGGAAGGAACGTATTCTATAAGGCCTGCCAGGGTTTTATGGGACGGAGACGAACAAGACATTAGCTCAAACGTCGTTTTGGTCGATTCCACCCGACGGTACTAAAAGAATGAAATACCTTAGCCACTAGCCCGTAGCGTGGTTTGTATAACGTTTCCGCTCGACTTCCTACATTAAGGCCAGTGTGTCAGTACACATACTTGCGATCTTACTGACATCGATCGCAAGGCGCCGTCTGATGCATCCCCTCGTTTGTTGTTCGTTTAGCCGACTGGATCAGTACCGCAGCACTGGTGGTCCATCGTTTCCAGGGTGCACCACGAGGAGGCGAACAACTCCACACCCCAATCGATGCGAATCTGTGTTTTTTTTTATACAAGGGGGAATCTGCTCCTATACACCTGAGAAGATAACTCAGGGTGTAGGGATGGGAGAAGTAGCGCTCCCGACCCGCTAAACCTTACCCTGTGCTCTTGGCCCTTGCCCTCCCCGGAACCGCCCGAAAGCATTGCATCATGGGAGGGGGGCGATTGCGCTATGGCGCATCACTAGTGTTGTGTCAGACGTGAGTTCTAGAGCAGACGTGATAGCCAGCCAACTGTCCAGGGCCAAACAAGACAGATGTGACCGCTTACCAGCTGCGTGTGCTAAGCACTCTAAGAACCCGGTGTCACTCCTGCCTTCGCACAACGAAGGTTTGTGCAGGGCTTATCAACCTCCTGGGACGAGCTGGATGGGATTCCAGCGTCCTTACTCTGCGGTAGTTCGTTTAGCCGCAATATCTAC